AGCAATGCGAACACGTGTAAATAGGTGCGAACGTGAAGAAGGAAGCATGGTCAGCGGCTGGTCAACTGAGATATGCGAATGTGTGACATTGTACGCGATCGCATAGCTTGGAGAAATCATTCACTGCGAACGCAATAGTACCTATGCGAACGCATAGTGTATTTTCTGGGCAGTTCTGGGCAAAAATGGAATTTCACGTTTTTAATCCCCAAACCATTTTTATACACGACCTAGCAGATCTTTGATATCATCCTTGGCTTATTTTTCAATTCCAAACACTAGAGAGAACACGTTTTGGAAGCTAGGGATTGCACACACACTTGGGTTTTGAAGATTTCAAGCTTGTGGTTAAGGATTTCTTACCCTTTATGTTTATTTCTTCATTTTCTTGCTTTGTATAGAATATTTAAGTGTGTAGTATTTATTTCCAACACTTGAATCTTGTTTATGGAAATATTCATAATTAAAGTGTGGATTAAATACCTTGTTGTGCTTATGTATTGAATGATTTTCATTTATTTATGAAGTGACTTGTTGTTTCTTTAATTATTCTTGTTCTTTAATGTTTCCAAAGGGATTAGCTAACCCTAGGACTCGCCCATTTACTCCGAATTAATTTTAGAAAAGATAATTTGGGATTAGAAAAGATTAATTAACAAGAACTTGTGGCGTTAACCCTCATTTTATAGATTCTACCTAGGGATAGGATTGAACTACTTGTAGCCATATCCGGGTATGCTTAATCTCCTAATTGTTTTAGGGATAATTCAATTAGGAAGTCTTGTTAGTCTTTGGAAGAAGCTAATTAAGAATTATTATCCGTAGCTAATTAACATAAACTCACTCATATTTGTTAAATCATGAAATACATTGGATCGTTACTTGAGTGTAATTCCTAAAGAATCCATTCTTGTAGCCATTGATCATTTTACTTGCTTTCTAGGTTAGTTTACATTTTCACATTTAGGTATAAATATTTCTCAAATCAATTCTAAGTGTTTGGCATTGCATAACAAGTGCTAATTCTCTTACATTCCTAATCGCCTACATATTGTTCTCTGTGAGATTCGACCCCGACTCATAGTTGGGTAAATTATATTGCATGCGACCGTGTCTATTTATTTTTTAGTAGTGGATTTGGACGTCATCAGGTAGTGAAAAGTAAAGGGAATATGCTAATATTAAGAAAGAATTTCCCTTGGTATTAAATGGGTTGGAAAGAAGGTAAGCCTCGCGTCGTCGTCGTCGCTCGCTTGGCTCGGCTTCGGATTTGCATTTGGTCAAAGATTGATTGATTAATTTTCTTGGACAAATTTTCCTTTAATTAATTAATTATCAAAAATCAACCCGAAATAACCCAGGATCCGCACACCTGACCCGGGACCCGGTCCGTTTATTTCCCCGTATAATTTTAAATATTCACGCATGTTCCAACAACCGTGGCTATTTTTGAAAGCTAGCAAATTTTCAGAAACAGTGCCAGAAAATGGCTATAAATTCGCTTTTGATCCCATAATTTTTCCTTATGAATTTTTCTGAATTTCAATCTTTCTTCTTCTTCCGCACAAATAAAATCCAGTGTGATCTACAGCCATTGAGTGGTTCCAGTTCACCAGCGTTTTAGGTACCGATTCTCTGATGAGTCAAAATCGTTCTATCTTGAGAGGATAATAATCCAACACCTTGGGTACTTGAGGGAACAATTTCATTAAAGGACACATTATGCATTTAGTGGACTTGATTTCATTCCAAAATATAGTTCCAGATTTTGTTTTCTGATGATTTTCCAGTTTATGCTTTACTTATGTTTTTTTTTGCTGTTTCTATTTTTGCTATAGGAAATTTACCGTTTCATAATGTTATAGTTAATACAGATTAATAACAGTCATAATAAAATTAAATTTATACTTTAATCTGTATTTTATTTTCTAGAGATTAAAACCTTTGTGTTTTTCTACTTCTTATGAATTTTTCTATTTCTGATTTGAAGATATAAATACTTCATCGGAGTATTAAAGTTCATAATTCAGAAACGATTTGAAGAACATAAAAACTTCATCGTTTTCTTGTGCAACAGTATATAAAATCTTCGTTTTTTGTTTATTAAAAGTACTGTTTATTATTAATTACAGTACTGTTTACTATTTTATTTTTCGGTCATAAATTAAACTGTTCTATTGTCTGTGAAAAAAATGGCAATTGAAACTGGAACTACTTCTGCGACTGTTGCGGCAACGACAATAGCCTCGTCAAGCCGAACTGCCGAAAAATTGGGAAAATTTTCTGGAGCCAATTTCAAAGGATGGCAGCAATTAGCATGCTTGGTATGCAGAAATTCACCAATGAAGACCCTTTAGTGCCTGCCACCGAAATTCCAGACAATAAAAAATTTATGATTGTTGAGGCGTGGAAATAAGCAGATTTTCTTTGCAAAGGCTACATCCTAAGTGCTTTGGAAGATGATTTGTACAATGTCTATGATGTTATGAATACTTCGAAAGAATTGTGGGATGCACTTGAGAACAAGTATAAGACTCAAAATGCCTGCTTGAAAATGTTGGTGGTTACCAAGTTTCTAGACTATAAAATGATAGACAGCTAAATCGTTGGAATCCAAGTTCAAGAGTTTCAGCTTAATTTGCATGACCTTATTGCTGAATGTATGGTAGTGAATGAAGCATTTCAAGTGGCTGCAATGATTGAAAAGTTGCCTCCTTCATGGAGAGATTTCAAAAATTATCTAAAGCACAAGCACAAAAAAATGAAATTGGAAGATCTTGTGATTCATCTCAAGATTCAGGAAGATAACAAAATAACGAGAAGAAGTTGCGTGGAAATTCAGCGATTATGGGTGCGAATATCATTGAGGAGGCTGCTATAAAAAGTAAGAAAAGGAAGAGGTCTTCTGAACAGACTAAGGAGCAGAACAAGAAAAAATTCAAGGGCAACTACTATAATTGTGGAAAAGCTAGTCACAAAGCCCCTGATTGTCATCTCCCTAAAAAGGACAAGAAAAAGGGACATGCCAACATAGTGGAGAATAGGCATGTTCATGGATCAATTTTTTTTTTTTTTTTGTTTTTTTCATGGATCAAATTGGATTGAATTTGGCACATTTTGGACTATAATTTCGGATTTCGGATTTGGTAAATTACAATCCGAATTCGAACCAAATTAAATTCGGTTCGAATTGAATTTTGATGTTTGGATCTGATAAATATTTCGGATTAGCTCGGATTGTAATCCTTACATATTAAGATGCTAAAATAAATGACTTTAAGTATAGCTAGCTATCCTACTTCACCGCAAACTAACGAGTCATACACAACATTCCATACTCAAATCTTTCATGATAAGAAAACTATGTAAGATCACAACATACTTGGATTGAGAAACAGGCAAAAGCACAGCCGTTTCAACCATCACATACCCAGCTAGAACAAAAATATAAGGACTTGATTAACCTCACTTCTGTCTCTCAGCAAGAAAACACAGAGAAACAAGACCAGTACAATTTTTTTACTATTTCCCACCAATGAAATATACTTTGATGCATTTACTATCTAAACAACTTCTCCTATTAGAGCAAAGATGAAGCGGCGATATTGGATTGAGGAGGCAGGAGCGATATGGAGATATACTTCGGACTTGCCGATGTGAGAGAAATAAGACAAATGAAACCCTAGATTTATCTAATGGCACCCTCACTTTTATATGTAAACCCTATATTTCGGATCGGTTTGGATTTAAATTAAGTCAAACCATATCCGATCCGATATCCAAAATAATTAAATATTTAATCTGAAATCCAATCCAAAGGGTTGAAATCCGATCCGAACCAATCCGAATAACATTGATCAGTTCGGATTTTCGGTTACCCTAGTGGAGAAGAATGATGACATTGATGATCTGTGTGCAATGCTTTCGGAATGTAACTTGGTTGAAAATCCGAAGGAGTGGTGGATTGACTCTGGAGCCACTCGACATGTTTGTGTTGTCAAAGAAGCATTTGCTACTTACTCTAGTGCCGGTACCGAAGAAGAGCTTTTCATGGAAATACTGCAACATCCAAGATTGAGGGTTATGGTAAGATATTCCTGAAATGAATGTGGTGACTTTAGATATTTCTAAGTTTTTTGGTTTGTGTCTATGATTCCCCAATTTAAGTAGTTGGAATCCGAAAATTGTTGAAGCATTTGTTGCTTTAAAAGTTATGTAAACAACCATATTCATAGTCCAAGCAGTCAAAGTTATGCAACTCCTATTGATGCCAATTTCTTCAAGAAATTATAAGCAAAGATTGCCTTGATCGTTTCCGGGATGACCTCTGATTTTTCAGCAATCTATATGTAATATTATTTTTTCTCTTGCTGTTAGGAAGTGGTAAAATGCTAGTAATTTCCAACTCGATTTCTATGCCTTTAGTCCAAGAGGTCTCTTAGAAACTAATTTTACTTGTTGTTTAGTACCAGAGACATGTATCTTATATAGTAAATTAACGGTGTCTATATGAAACAAATGAAGGGGAGCCTTAGAACAAAATTAAAGTTTGTTTTTGAAATTAACTATTGATGTCTGCATCAGTAGATATATCCTCGTGGGGTGCGGCTCTTCTCCGAATTCTGCGAGACGTTTTGTGCACTAGACTACCTTTTATTTATTTATTTATATCAACCCAATAAATACATATCATTAATTTTGCGTATAAACTTCTTTCACAATTTCACTTAATTAATATTTATTCTAACCTTATTGCGTCACTTAATGTGGTAAGTTGATATGTAACCCTTCTTCGACCCTGCATAAATACAAGATGCTTTATGCATTAGGTTGACGTTCTTTTGTTGTATCAAGCCAATAAATGCATGTCATGAATGGTAAGTTGATATGCTTTGGTATAAAAGTCCGGGAAAAATAATTTTTATCTAAATTAACCAGATTTTTGTTGTATGAAAATTTTCAAAAAGAAAAGAACAGAAAAAAAAAAAAGAAGAAAGAAAAACACTAGAGCACTAATCTTCTTTACAATCTACCCAAATGTATCTCCGCTTAACCCCATATCACAAAAATCTCCGGGATAATCTCATTCCCTTTCTATAATTGCCTGCAGTAGAGTTCTTACATTTGGGGAATACAAATACAAACACAAAAAATACCCAACAAGAAGAAGGAGAGATAGAGAGGTGTAGACAAATTGGCCTTTGAGGGTTTGGCTTGCTTTCCTTTTTTTTTTTTTTTTTGGCTCTAAGTTTCTCCCACTTAGATTACATATCTGATTTTCTCCGACCCTCTTTTTCTTCTTCTTCCTCTTTATCTCTCTCCAATCCATACCTCTTAATACATACATAACTATATCATCATCATAGTGTATAAATTTTGTGTCTTGGATAGTATTAGAGCTAAAAACTTAAGCTTTGTTTGAATGCAAATTCTCTTAATTTGGGTAATACATTTAATGCCTAGTATGGAAGTAAAAGGGTTTATTACCGTAACACCCACAAAGCCAAATCAGTAAGGTTTGTGAAAAACCTTATAACTTTGCCCATTATCTTGCATTTAAGATTGGAGATTTGGTGATATCTGGGTTTTGATCATTTTGGTAATAGCTGAATCTTGAATTGTGCTGTGGTGTGACTATATGTTGGTGGTTTGGTTTCTGCTTAGGGCATATTGAGGTTAACAAAGAGACATCCTTTGCTGGTTTTGGGTCTCAGAATTCTTGGCTTGTTTGGGGTTTGGCCAATCTTACTGTATTTGAGCACCTGAGTAGTTGCTGGTGAAGCTATCACCTTCTGGTTTTCCTAGGGTTTGTTGTGTGAAAAGCATTTGTTCCTCGCTCATTTGTCAGTTTCTTATGATTGTCTGTTTCTCAGCAAGTATTTGAAAGTTGCCTTTGTCTGCTTTGATCAGTGGTGTAAGAACTCCGGTTTTGTGAAATAATTTGTGTGAGAGACAGAATTTAGATATGAATAGGAGGGTTCGGAGGAAATTGGCAAGGAGGGGACAGGAGAAGATTGATTTCCCTGAGCTTGGTGAGTGTTTGACTTTGGATGAGAGAGGGATAGTTGATTGGACTAGGTTGCCGGATGATACAGTACTCCAGCTATTTTCATGTCTGAATTATCGTGATCGAGCGAGCTTGTCATCCACCTGCCGCACTTGGAGAACTTTAGGTGTATCACCATCCTTATGGCAGGTTTTAGATCTTCGTCCCCACAAGTGTGATTCTGATGCTGCTGTTGCTCTTGCTCCTAGGTGTAGGAATCTTAAGAAACTTAGATTTCGTGGCGCTGAATCTGCAGATGCGATTATACAGCTTCAGGCTAAGAGTTTATGTGAGATTAGTGGCGATTACTGCCGCAAGATCACAGATGCTACATTGTCTGTAATTGCTGCTCGACATGAGTCACTTGAAAGTTTGCAACTTGGCCCTGATTTTTGTGAAAGGATTAGCAGTGATGCAATAAAAGCAATAGCCATTTGCTGTCCCCAACTCCGGAGACTTAGACTTTCTGGAATTCGTGAAGTTGATGGAGATGCCATCAATGCATTGGCTAGGCATTGTCGGAATCTAATGGACATTGGTCTCATTGATTGTCTCAATGTTGATGAGTTGGCATTAGGAAACGTTTTGTCCCTTCGCTTCCTGTCGGTGGCTGGCACAACTAATATGAAATGGTCTTTGGCTTTACAGAATTGGAGTAAACTGCCTAACCTGATGGGCTTAGATGTTTCCAGAACAGATATAATTCCTAATGCCGTTTTAAGATTGTTTTCATCCTCACCATCCTTGAAGATCTTGTGTGCCTTATATTGCCCAGCCCTCGAGCAAGATGCCAGCTTTGTTTCCAATAACAATCATAAAGGTAAACTACTACTTTCTTTTTTCACTGACATTTTTAAAGAAGTAGCATCACTATTTGCCGATACTACAAATAAAGAGAGGAATGTATTTATGGAGTGGAGAAATTTAAAGACCAAGGATAGAAAAATGGATGATGTAATGAATTGGCTGGAATGGATCCTTTCCCATTCACTTCTGCGAATTGCTGAAAGCAATCCACAAGGGTTGGACAATTTTTGGCTTAGCCAGGGTGCATATCTGTTACTTAGTTTAATGCGGAGCGCTCAAGAGGAAGTTCAAGAAAGGGCAGCCACTGGCCTGGCAACTTTTGTTGTCATTGATGATGAAAATGCTAGTATTCACAGTGGAAGGGCTGAAGCAGTTATGCGAGATGGAGGCATAGGTCTCCTGCTAAACCTTGCAAGATCTTGGCGGGAAGGGCTTCAGACAGAAGCTGCAAAGGTGAAACTTCTTTCTAATGCTTTGTTCAAAAGAACCTCTTACTGTTTAGTTTGATTTTGTATAACTTCTTATGGTAGGTGTTCATGAATTTTATTTGCTAGATCATATTCGTGCTGCTCTAGTACATTTCAGTTCTGTTTTGCAAGAGCATCCATTAGCTTGCCTTTTATCCCTCTGACACTACTTGATAAATGGCCCAAAAATGTGCTAAAGTTATTTTGCTCTCATGGTGAAGATTGATCTGTATGCATCTCTATTCTATGTGTAGGCTATAGCAAATTTATCGGTGAACGCCAATGTTGCAAAAGCTGTAGCAGAGGAAGGTGGGATAAGCATCCTAGCAAATTTAGCAAGGTCTATGAATAGGTTGGTTGCAGAAGAGGCCGCTGGAGGGCTGTGGAATCTCTCAGTTGGGGAAGAGCATAAGGTTGTCAAATTTGTAGTTGCTTTTCTTGTTTCTTAGCAATTTTCTTCCTGCTAAACAAAGTTCAAATGCAGGCCGCCATTGCTGAAGCTGGTGGTGTAAAAGCTCTGGTAGATCTTATCTTTAAGTGGTCTGTCACTGGTGGTGAGGGAGTTCTGGTACGTGCCTTTAGCATATGCATATGCAAGTAAAACTCGTGCCTTGCATTCTTACTTGCAATTTATGCCATAAAAATGAATATTATCAGCTCATGTTGCTGTAAGTAACTTGCTTATTTTTTGCCACCTCTTAGGAACGTGCTGCTGGTGCATTAGCAAATTTGGCGGCAGATGACAAATGTAGCATGGAAGTAGCGACAGTAGGTGGTGTACATGCTTTAGTAAAGCTTGCTCAGAACTGCAAGTCTGAAGGAGTTCAAGAGCAGGTTCAATTCTTTCAGATTTTGAAGTCAGCAACTTTTGTCTGACTGTTCAGGATAACAAGCAGACAGTTTCTAGGTTTTCTTTTCCAACATATATTTAGGGTCTGAGCTTCCAATGGAAATTGTTGAATGCAAGAGTAAATCTGAACAAGCTTTTATATGCATCAAACGCCTGTGCTTTACCAAAGGGCATCCTTTCAAGTTGATAGGTCACTAGCGAACCTGTGTGTACTTCTGAGGCTAGAACATCATTTTCTTGGTTGTTTTGTTTACAATAGGACCTCACGGGAGGTGGCTTGTACATGCACGTACCATATACAGATCCACTGGATAGGATACACCTGAGCACAATGGAATATGAATTCCCTCATACTTCTAGTTAATTCTAAAAGTTATCTGTGATATTGTGCTGTCTTCTTGGCCCTTCTTTTTCTTTATATGCAAGTGATTACATGCAACATCTGCCAGTTGGGACTTGTATGATCTAACACCACAGACAGACGAGTTTCTGAAATTGTGGTGTCTAGTGTTGTCGGGCTGTTTTGGCTATCAATTTGTGGACCATTTGGTGAAGAGTATGTTTGTATATCTGATGCTGTCAGTTTTATGATAATATCCATTTTATTTCTCCAGGCTGCCCGTGCACTCGCAAATCTTGCTGCTCATGGTGATAGCAACAGTAACAATGCAGCAGTGGGACAAGAGGCAGGAGCTCTTGAAGCACTTGTGCAACTTACTCGTTCTCCTCATGATGGAGTCAGGTAATTTGTCTTCCATAATTTAACTTGTGTATTGTTTACATGAAGTGAAATATTTCTATATTTCCTCGCCTCTTGCATGTAACTATTGATTCAGCAAAGGTCCTTCTAGGATGGAGAGAGAAACTCCCCCTTCTCTCTAGACTATTTGAGACATAGAAACAAGCAAGACATTGATTCTCTGGCAACTTTTCCAGGCAATTTCTTGTGCTGCCCAACTTTATCCAGCTCTAACGGAAATAGTAACTAAATTATTTAAAAATACAAGCTTAGTATAAGAGAAGTGAAGTATAATAAAAATCTATCATCTACATGACAAATATTTTTTATCTACATGACAAATTTGGAAAAGAAATCTTATTCTTTAATCGGACAGAAATCTTTCTAAATAAAGGAAGTGGTAGATAATTAATAAACATGGTATGGGTTTGTGGGAAGTCAAGGAAGAACAAAGTCAAGCTGAATTAGGGGACCTCAAAGTTCATGGACAAAGGAACATACCATGCAAAGGAGATCACACAGATGCCAAAAAAGCAAGGTGCCAAATAGCGGTAATCTAAGAGTGGCCAATTGAAAATATTAAAATTAGTGATTGATAAAAAATCGAGGAAGGAAATCAAATTGTGGATAAGGAAAGCTCAGTAAAGCGAGATTGAATCCTGAATAGATTCCCCCCCCCCCCCCCCTCCAAACCCGCGGTTGAATAGGAGTAATGGTGAAGGAAATGAATGCATATCTTATTTGAATTCCCATTGAGATCAGAGGTAGGAAGAAAATGGTCGCATTGATTACTTGCCACTGAGAACAACTAAAATCAAACCATCCTTGGATAAGATTTCTGGACATTTGCGCAGTTATGGTCAGAAAGCATTTTTGAATCGCCTGGAGAAATGTGGAGTCTTTTTTGAAATTAAATGAAGAAATAAGGAGTGGATCTCACTTGCAATAGGTTCATGTTGGTGTGAAATGCATAGTGAAGCCATTACCAGTGTCGACTGTGCTTGAGGTTGGGGATACAGCCTATAAAGGTTTTGATATGAATTGAGTCAACAACATAAGTACAACCAGTGTTGTCAAAGGCACGCTTAAGCCCTAAAGCGAGGCTTAAAACATGTTGAGCGTTTCGCCTCGCTTTGCGGGCGCTTCAGTGTCGTCATCAAGGCTCTAAGGCATACTTTTCCTTGCCAATTGCCAATGAGCGTAATCCTGAAGAGGCGGTACTAAACAATTAATAGTTCATTTTGTTGTAATATTTTTCTAATTTCTTTATCCATATATTTGTTATTCATGCTTATAATTATTAGTCTTGGATTACACATACATATTTGTATTTTTTCTTCATTTGCACCGTTCTTCGTGAAAGCTCACGCTTTATTTGCGCTTTACACTTAAAGCTCCAATGGACCTTGAGCTCTTTTGTGCTTTTCGCCTTTGATAACACTGAGTACAACAAGATGACCCAAATTCTTACACCAGCATGTACTCATCTCTTACAAACTACAAACAATTTACAATAACATTCTGATGGAGAATCGGCCTGCAGTTTTTCCTATGACAGATGACACATTTTACGGGGTATGTGCAACATAGTGGTGTAATTTTGTTTTTGGATTACAAAGTCAGTTGACGACTTGTAAGAAAACATTGAGCATGCGCATACTATGGGGTGTAACAACTATTATGTTCAAATGAAACACAATAGGGGTTGGCCTGGTGGCAATTCACTTGAGCCTTGGGGTTTGCTCCCTTTCAAGGTCTCAAGTTCGAAACCCACTGGGTGCAAACAATTTCTGAGGGCCATCGGACTGGGTAAAACCTGAATTAACCGTGGTGCACTTGCGGGGAACTCCTTGCCGAGGGCCTGTGCACCCCCGGGATTAGTCGGGGCTCTAAGAGACTCGGACACCCGGTGCAAATCAAAAAAAAAAAAATGAAACACAACATTGGGTCAGGAAAAGAAAATGGAGGTATAGCGAGCGGAGATTTGGGCTTAATAATAAGAGCGAGGAAATTTGTGATGAACCCATAGCTGAGATACAACTGATTGACCCAGATCATCCTGAGATGACCTAGAAGTTGAAGGCACCACTTTGAGTTGACTAATTGAATTGGAAATTAAAGCTGTTATTTTGAACAATAGACAAACTATAGTTTAAAAATCAAGAAAAGCGGTTGAAGCTAGGAGTAGAGAAAGTAGGTGAAAACAATTACTCTTGTAGAAGAGAATTACGCGTGTGGATAGTGGAGGTGATGGAGCTAGTCTTATGGACAAGAAAAATGGTCAAACCCAGAAGCAGAAAGAAGGTGACAATTCACATGAAAACAATTACTCTTGTAGAAGAGAAATACAAGTGTGAATAGTGGAGGTGATGGAGCTAGTCCTATGGACTAGAAAAAAGGTCAAACCCAGAAGCAGAAAGAAGGTGACGAGTCACGACCATTAGGCCAATAGAAGAGAAACATTATGTGTGAATAATTTGGAGATAGTGGACCTAGTACCGTGGCAAGTTTCTAATAGATAGTCGCTCAAAGAAGAGCTGATATGAGAAAACTTTTATGACAGAGTTTATTGCTTCAGATAGCTCATGACTGGTAAATTGATATTTCTATACTATGGTCTGCCTTCTAGAAGCTTCACCAGCTTCCCCCAATGCGTCTCTTACTGTAGTATTGTCTAAATTGTTTTTTCCTCCTTTGCTGCTTACCTATGCTACTAGGATAGCAAGTAAGCCAACCTTACTTGCATTCTCGAAATGGTAGCTTTCTCTGGTTTGTGTGCTGGATGGCGACTAGGTGTTGACCAAAAAATAAGATGTTGCTACGTGAAGATTTGGCACTAATGAGGGGCTAGTGGCATGTCGCTGGACGGTGACTGTATGTTGGCATAAAGTTGATGGCGGTGGCACGCTGACTGCATGATGAGTGTCGAAGAATAGCAAAGTGATGTTGACTAGACATGTTTGATGATGAAAAATAACTAATTGGACAAAATTTGAACTGTCCACTTGATAAGCCAACATACATATGCTTCTAACTTGACATGTTAACTGTCAAGTGTTGACTTGAAAGGTCAACAACATGGACTGATGCATAAACTATAGACAACTGTGGACTGATCAAATATGGCAGGTGCAAGGAAAAGACAAGTTTGCCTGCCGTCCATTGAAAATAAACTTTCGTAGCCATGCTCAGGATAGTGGTCCTAAAAGATTAAAAAAGAGGTGGTACCGCCAAAATGATGACTGCACAGGGACAATACTTGTAAAGTTAAGATAAGTAGGAAATTTTTTGCACGGGTAGTCAGTGTAAGGCTATCTTTTTTGATCAAGGTCAGTGTAAGGCAATCTTTCGGTTTGCAGAAACTACTTAGGTATCTACTAAGATTGTAGAAACTCAGATACCATGTGAAGAGGAACGAGGATTTCTTGACTTGATTATTGACAAATGACAACACACAAGAGAGGTTTCATATATTGCAATCTCAGACAATGTATGATATGGTTAGTAATTATTCACTTAGACAATGTATGGTGTAGTAAGTAATTAATCACTAGTCTAACAATGGAAGTAGTTATTCTACGATTAAACCTATTCTACTCAATGACATCCTATGTATATTACTTCCTTTGTGCCATTTTATGTGGCACTTTCCTTTTTAATGTCTAAAAAAGAATGGCACCTTCATGTATTTAGAAACAATTTAATTTTAAGCTTCTCATCTTACCCTTAATGAGATGATTGATAGCCACATAAATACCTATGACTTGTTTTGGACCACAAATTTCAAAAGTCTTTCTTTCTTAAACTCCGTGCCCAATAAAACATTGCCGCATAAAATGGGACGTAGGGTGTATGCCATTAGTAATTAGTCACTTGTCTAACAACTCAAGTAGTTATTCTACAATTAAATATACAATATTTTATGTAATATTATAGATTGATCTCCAGCTCAAGCTTGATTAAAAAAAGGGCAGCCCGGTGCACAAAGTGTCTAGCGTTCACATAGGGTTCGGGGAAGGGCCGGACCGAGATGTGTGATGTAGGCAGCTTGCGCTAACACAAGTGTTAGTAGCTGACACGGCTTGAACTCGTGACCTTTTCTTTTTGATAAGTAGGCTCTAACCCGTGACCTATATGTCACACGGAGACCTCAAGTTTGATAAATCTAGACACTTTTTGAATATAAGCACATTCTAACATGTTTATGCACCAATTTCTTGACTTGAGTGTTCCACTCTTACTAGATTCTATTAGTTTCAAGCTGGTATACATGGAACCTTTTTTGGTTTTAGTTTCAAAGTCAGATTTTCTGCATAAACAATGTGAAACAGAATTCATGATCCTAAACACCTGTCACCTTAGGTTCATTTTTCATATCTCATTGCTTTTCTTTTGACAAGTATATTTTGTATCTCATTTATTTTGCTTTCCTTGCTGTGATTTAGGCAAGAAGCTGCTGGAGCGTTATGGAATCTATCATTTGATGACAGAAATCGTGAAGCAATTGCGGCAGCTGGTGGTGTTGAGGCTTTGGTATGGTGTTAATCTAATTTTGGCCTTACTATTTTCAGTTTCCTTGAAACTATTAGTTATGGACATACAGTGTTCCATACATGGCAATCGCTTAAGCTTTGGAGTTGAGAATCGTTGTAAGTGTCATGTTTCCATACTAAGTCACAGATTTCCCATACAAGATAATATTTTCCCAAATTTACTGTACATTTTGCTGACTTGGTCTAGTTTGTAGTTTAAGAATGCTCAGCTAAAAAGTGGAAAGAGCCTAAATATACTGGTACTAGACTTTTAGCTTTTTGCTAGTCAGGGTTTCATCAGTTCGTGACCCATCCTCGACAGCATTATCGCATCACTCATTATCAGCATCCATATTGTTCACGGGAACAAAGATGCCTGAGGGAACAAGTATTGTATGCCGAAACTAGTGGAGAAAAGCTTCTTCTCTGGTTAAGGGGACATTAATTCCTAATAGGCTTTAGCAGTCTGCTGTTGTCGAGGAAATAAAGGTGAAATTGTCATGGTTTCATCATGGTTTTAAATTCCCTTATCCAAGAATGATAACTCCATCACTGACTTCTAAGCAATCCTGTTTGTTGTGACTTGTGAATTTGCTAAATAATCACTATACTGCTGGCAAATTCTGCGCCGGCCGTTGCTGTACATGATACTAATTATGTGGTATCACATCGGTTTCGGTTTTTTTGATTTGCTTTAATGAGTGTTGAAATGATAGTTTTCTTTCTTTATTCATACATTTCTACAGAATATTAGAATTCCGAACCGTGTTCCTTTCTAAGTTGAAGAGTGATGTATTCCTTTTATCATGTCTATTTGCCAGGTTGCTCTTGCACATTCGTGCGCAAATGCTTCTCCTGGTCTGCAGGAGAGGGCTGCTGGTGCTTTGTGGGGATTGTCTGTGTCAGAAGCAAACAGGTCTGTAAAATTATTAGATTTTTTGGTGCAGATGCTAGATTAGTATATCTATTTTGTCATAGTATCATACTGCATGAACCTATTTCTGCTTTTATTAATCTCTGCGAGGATCTTTGTACAGGCAATTTGCCTACTGCATCTATTAACCATATCAGGCTGAATGGCTACCATTACTTTTCCTTTCTTTTTTTTATAAAGCTGCAGTTATTTATTTTTGTATGTCAGGTGGTTTGTTTCCTTTGTTATTTTATTTTATTTTTTCGGTAGGTAACAGTTTTATTAAAAAGGATCCAAGGGCGATGCAAAGAGGACTAATAGACACCATATTTGAACCTCAATCCATCTGTTAACCCTCATAAAAATCTTCTTGAAATTGTGTTATATACTATTAGTCCATGTACAACTAGAGGATCTCCTGCGCTGGCACTGCCACCACCTCTTTCCACCGTCATCTCTGAGTTTGGATTACTTTGTTATTATGCCCATATTTCTATCCCAAACTCTATCTTTCACCACCTCTTCGTGTCCCATAATCATTTTTAACTCATAACTTACTAAGGTCACCACAATAATTCTTCTTCAACATTGCCATATTACATTACACACCATTAACTCTGGGTAGGTAACAGAAAGGGGTACACGTACAGCATGATGCCAACAGAAATTTGATGGAGATGAGCATAACTTAAACCACTATGTCCTGAGCGTTGCAACGTACTAATTGAATTCTGCCTATTGCTTTATGGTAAAATTTATAGCCATGTTGTAACTGCACAATTTGCTTTCTCTTTACTCGATTGGATATTAATCCAATTCATAATTTATTGAATCCTGCAATAGTATTGCCATTGGACGAGAAGGAGGTGTGGCGCCACTTATAGCACTTGCACGATCTGATGCTGAGGTAAATCTTTATAATCCGAGGCTTCTATAGAAACGTTTTTCTTGCCTGCCTGGTTCTTGCTCTTCCATGCTGTTTGCGACTTGTGAAGACTTAATTTGTTGACTTGTTAATTGAAGTTACTACTATTGAACTATGACGATTGGCACCCTTCCTTAAACTGTAATTGAATTGGGTCCTTATATATCTTTTAAGTTCATTCTTAACAGTTAGCTATATTTATTTTGTTTCAGTACAGATTGTAAATTTAAATATAGATTCAGCAGCTAGAAATCTTTTCTAGGGAGATCGACCCGTGGTTCTCAGTACCTAGCTATTATACTACTACTAATTTTGGCACCTCAACATGGTTATGTTAAAGGGAAAGTAAGTCACTTTTTTGCATCTAAGGTTGTATCATTTATTGGTAAACTGTTTTTCCATTTTCCTCTGGATTTTTTTTAGCCGGAGTTAGCTAGCTCTTCAAACTTAAAAAGAAGAATTAACCAGCCTGTCCAGTGATGGCTAGGCTTTAATAAAAATATATGTTCCTCAGAGTTGCATAGTTTTATAGGTAAATGTAGTATGAAGAATCTTTCTGTACTCTGGAGTAGTTTTAGGTCTAAATTCTTCCATTGCATATTGGCTAGTGGAGCTGTTATTAATTCCACCTTGAAAGTGCTAAAGTATCCAAGTACAAGAGCTGCAAGTGGGTAGTAGTTCTGATGGCGTCTTTCACATAATCGCTGATGTTTTTTTGGTTAAACTGCGATCTGTAGATGTAGCATACATTTGACATTTGTTTATGTACCTACAAGCGGTTTTAAACTAACCTGTGAAGCCACTGCTTTATTGATTGGCATGTACTCTGAATGAAATAAGTTTTTCTGCTCTCTGGAGTATGAGGCTTATTATGCTTGTATATTCCTAAAATTTCCTCTTTCCAGGATGTCCATGAGACTGCAGCTGGGGCCCTCTGGAATCTTGCTTTCAACCCTGGTAATGCTTTCCGTATAGTGGAGGAAGGAGGGGTTCCTGCCCTCGTTCATCTCTGTTCGTCATCTGTCTCAAAAATGGCACGCTTTATGGCTGCATTGGCGTTGTCTTATATGTTTGATGGAAGGTACTTGACAATGTCTTCATCCGTGAAACTATATACTAAACAGCATCCTATGCTAAATACGGTATGCTATTTAGTATAGATTTTTTTGAATGATTCTCTTTTTTTTTTCCACGAGAGCCGTCTTAGGACGATATTTATTTTCCAGAAGCCATTTATTTCTGGCATTCTTTTCACATCATATTTAGCAATCCAATCTAGCTATAGCTGTTTCAGAGGAGACAACTAACTGGAGCAAGGTCTCTTCATCTTTTATTATGCTCAAAAAGTAGTTTCCGTTCTTCCTTAGGTGTCTCATGTCTGAGCTGTTTAAGATTGAGGAATAGGGCATTGTCATTTGAAGATTTTTACCTGGGAAGCTAGGTTTTGTTTCTTTTTTTTTAATTTTTTTGGGGGGGGGGGGGGGTATGTGCCTTGGAATGGCTACTTGTGGATGTAGTAGAGAAAAGAACTCCGTCAGCAGCACATCTTTATCTCACGAAAACTTCTCTGTAGATCTCAGTTGAAGAGAACCAGTTCTCGAGATTCCTTTGGATGTAATTGTGCTGCTTGAATGGGGCGGATATAATAGCCTGTAGAGGAGTTCAAGGGCTTAGTTAACTTTGACGGTTGTCACCCAAGTGAGTTTGACGACATGTGGGAGATAGAGAAGCTTGCTTTTCTTGTGATAAATCTCATGGGACAAGCTCATGTGACTTTTCTTGTCAACAGTTAACTTCTGATGCTGTTTATGCCCATCTAAGAATACTCTCATATGGATTGGTTATGATGTATATGTCTCGCTTCACCCAGAATACTTTTGTGGTAGCTTTTTCACACAATTTAGAGGGAAGTAGAAGTTTTGATCTCCAATAATCATGCTCGTCCACTTAAAGTTTATGGATGATTATGATTGAAAAGGTCTATTTTGTAGAAATTTGACCAAATAATGGGGCATTCCCACAAAACAAATTGAAAAATTGTGGATAGAGGTAATAGATAGTATATTGAAAAGTGAGATAGACATGTTCGTCTGTTGTATATTTTTACCCGTTAACAGAATCGTGGTTCATCTGCTTACTCTGCTGGGTGATGTGAAATCATCCTCCTCTTCATGCTTTTGCTCTTCCATTTTCTTCTTGGAACATGAAATCTGATTGAATATTGCATCCTTCAGTAAAATTTAAGGTAGGTTTCTCAAAACGTGTCATTGTTCCGCATGTGCATCCAATTGTCAGAATCAAAATAAATTGTGTAATCTCTGTTTATCAGTGTATTTGTTCAAGCTTTTAGAAATTTTCATTTTCATGTTCTATAAAACTTTGTGAATAGACAATGGACCTACTCCATGGGAGAGGCTAAACAAAAAAGGAACTCTTGTAATTGGATTTCAAATGGGGAGAGGACATACTGACAAGAGGATTCAGCTGAAATCTTTAAAATACAACTGCTTGACTAACGGTGCTTGCAATAGGAAAACAAAGTTGAACAAACTGATTCAAGATGTTCTCACTTGTCAAAGGGAAAAAGAAATGATTTGAGGCATTCTGGAATGTTGTTGCATTCTTTCCTTGTGAGTAAAAGTTAAAATGCCATTTCCTCTTTCTGACAGAATGGATGAAGTTGCACTTGTGGGAACTTCTTCAGATAGCACCTCTAAGAGTGTAAACTTAGATGGGGCTCGAAGAATGGCTTTAAAGAACATTGAAGCTTTCATCCTTGCATTTTCTGATCCACAAGCATTTTCTGCTGCTGCTGCATCATCCGCCCCTGCACCATTAACTCAAGTTACAGAATCAGCTCGTATTCATGAAGCAGGTCATCTAAGGTGCAGGTATGCATGTTGTCTCCCCTCACCCCCAACTCTCTCTTTCTCCGTCTCTTAATCCTTTTCTGATTTTTTAAATCTTACACTTACTGATAAGATGTCTTGTACACACAAGCTCACTTGTCATAAAAATCTCATCGTGTGTGTAATTTAATGCGTCAGCTGTCTGCAACATTCACTCTCTGAAAAAAGGTGGCTGTCTCCGCTCATCGAGAATCCTAGGGCTTAATGCCTGTATATTTCCTGGGCAAGCAACATAGAGAACTCTATTGAGTCAATTTTATGAAATTCAACATATTGCTTCATCTTCACCATGTTGTGACATGGCAAGATTGAAATTTGCGGTGCTTAACTGTTTTAGCAACTCCCCTTGGTCCCAAATATTCTCTCGTGCCTTGTTGAATCTTCATCTTCTTTTCTCGTTTAATTTTCTTAGATATCCTTCTGCCTTTTTTATTAATGATTTCCTTAAACTACCTCTTCAGTGGAGCTGAGATTGGAAGATTTGTTACGATGTTACGAAATTCTTCTTCTATTCTCAAAGCATGTGCTGCGTTTGCCCTTCTTCAGGTAAATGATTCTCTTTGAGAGTGACACTGACATTTTTCTGATATCAGCTTTTATACTTTGAACTGGTAACTTAACTGATCTCGTTTTTACATTTTTCCAGTTCACAATCCCAGGTGGTCGACATGCACAACATCACGTCCGCTTATTGCAGAATACCGGAGCATCAAGGATTTTGCGTGCTGCTGCAGCAGCAGCCAGTGCCCCTATCGAAGCCAAAATCTTTGCACGGATTGTACTTCGGAACTTGGAGCACCATCATATAGAATCCTCAAACTAAGGCCTGGCGAAGACTACTATGATCCTAGGCTTGTGCATTGCGGCCATTGCCATTGGCACCTTACTCAGCAGTAGTGGTAGGTATACTCCTCTCGGTGCCATTGGCACTAAGCTTCCAGTTTGTGTTAGCGTTCTGAAACTAATGGTGCTGGCTTTTGGGAAGAGGCAAAGGCTTCTTATTTTTCTACCCAAATGTCTGCCTTCTTCTGAGTTTCTTCTAGTTTTATTTCTTGGGTACATAGGGTGTGTGATTTTTTTTCCTTTTTATTAGTTATTTTCGTCATTATTTGTGTCTGTTTGAGCTTAGGCTTGATAGATCTATTGGCAGGCGTTAGTTTTGAAGTCCCGTTGATTTTTCAGTTTTTGTATTTTAATTTACCCTGGCAGTTTGTTCAATACCTGTACATTATAGATTTGCAGAGACATTAGCATGCTGACTATTTCTGTACAAACACTCCAAAGAATTTCTATGATATAGTAGCTGTGTTTTAAGGTGGTTTGGATGATGAAGTTGATGGTCTCTTTCAAGCATCTGAAGTTTTATCCTTTTGCCCGAATACGTTTCTTAAATAGCCTCTCTATCTTCACTAGGTAGGGGTAAGGCCTGCGTACATACTACCTTTTCCATTCCCAGACTCCATCTGTGAGAATATACTGGGTTTGTTGTTGTTGCCCGAATACGTTCTCAAAAATATATTACTGCTAAACAAAGTTTTGCAATGGTAGCTTCAAATTATGAAAGTGAATATCCAAGGGCCACGAGCTTTTAGAGGCCAAGACAAGTGGTTTAATTCTAAACGGCTTAGCGTTGGTAAAATGGCCGTTCAATACTACCGGTATAGTCTTTACCATAATTAAGCTTTTTCCAATTTTAGCCCGCGCAAGAAACTACTTATATTTGGTAGCCAAAAGTGTTTAAGTTTGTATAATTTTTGTATATAACATATAGAATATGTATATATACAAAAAGTATATATTTTTTCTTCTATTATTTTGAGAGCGGCTATATAGTGTTATTTTTTCTAATTAATTAATTATTCATTGGTGCTTGTTAAGTCTTACTGCAACTCAAACCTAGTATTTTCTTCACTTCTCAACCCAAAACAGGACTTTCAAAGGTAGATTTTAATTTAATTGTGTAATAATGTCCGGAGAATAAAGAAGGAAAATGAAGCTTAAAATGTCCTCTACCTATGAGCATTGGTTACCTATTTATTGAGGTGAGCTACTCATTGTTCTTTTACATTTTCAGAAAATTTCCAGTTAGTTTTATGAAATAGAGTTATATTCATGTATTTTAGCATAATCCATAAAATAAAAATAAAAAATTAAAAGGATTCTTCTTCCATAAAGTTGCTAAATGTTTATAGTTGATTCAAACCATTACTTACTCAACAACAAGAAGATTTTCATTTAGCAGTGACAAGACCACACTTCTGGAGACGTAGGGGTCACTTATTATTAAAATGATTCGAGAGTTCAACCACACTTCACTAACATTAAATATTTTTACCATACGTAATTTTTTTCCATACTCCTTTGATTTTTTGAAATAAAAAGGGAAGAAACACTGCAACGAACACCATAGCCACCAAATAGAGTTGGCTCAATCTAGTCTAACCCAACCCACGCGGGCTTTAAATAAGCTCCAAAATTTTAACCCAACCCTATGCTGAGTTAGACCGATCCAACGGGCCAAGTCCATATTGACAGCTCTACCCGTAAATTTAGAAGTGTCCCAAAGTTTACTTGTCATGGACATTTGCCCATATTGCAAGGCGTCACCATTTTGATTGATCGGCTGCCATGTTATTAGGATTTCTATTCAAGAACGCTTAGTATCTTAACGGTGTTAAAAAGAGGAAGAGAAATCCAAGGTTAAAATTACACCAGTTAAGATTAGAAGTTTTGTAGAAAATTGATATGCAGTAGCTAGCTTTGACTCTTCTCATACCACTCAGGTGATATCTAATTTGGAGCTAGCAAACAAATTTCATGTTGTTATACAATGAATAGTAGAGATAAAAATCAGGTCGTGGAATGAGCTGAAGGCAAGAGCTGATCTTGGTTTTTCTTCATTGTTTACCTTTTCCCCTACCAAAATGTCCATGATCTTAAGCTAACTGATTCAACATGAGTATGCAGCTGGAGAATTTCTTCTCCAACACCATTCAATTTATCGTTGAAGTTCCGGACAGACGAAGGCCATACATCACATGATCTTGATGTAGTCATAGTAGTAGATGCATTATCTACCAAATATGGTAGTATGTTGTTCTTCATTTCACTAGTAGATATTTCAAGATGATTACCAGATACATTCAAGAACTTCACTTTTCCAGCTTCATCCAAGATTTTCAGACCAATCCAATCTTCTGTATAGAGCTTTGTCTACATACATAATCATACAAAATAATATCAGGAAATATCTCTTAGAACATCAAGGACATAAAGGCTCTACTGGTTTTTTAAACAAAAACTATTAATTGAACAAGAAATAAGAAAATACTTCAATCGATAACTTCCAACTTATTCAAAATAAAGAAAGGGCAACCTGGTGCACTAAGCTCCCGCTATGTGCGATATCCGGGGAAGGGCCGGACCACAAGGGTCTATTGTACGCAACCTTACTCTGCATTTCTGCAGGCTGGTTCCACGGCTCAAACCCGTGACCTCCTGGTCACATGACAACAACTTTACTAGTTACGCCAAGGCTCCCCTCTGAAAAGATGAAACTTTGATTGATTTTACAATCAAGATAAGAAACTCCTAAAAAAATGAAACTTTGATTGATTTTATATCAGAAAAAAAAAAAGTGAAACATCTCTCTCATATTCCTAAAAGAAAGTCACATATTAGTACCTCATTAGCAGGCAAAACAGTGCTCCAGGAACCATCAGGATAATACCCAAACCATGAGGTTTGCTTTGGTACCAAAATTTGATCTTTCTCAAACTGATAAGGATAAAAAGAAGTAAAAGATTATGAGCCTCTTTGATCTTCCAGATTAACACTTTTTGATGCATGGACAAGATTTAGATGAAGAGTTAAAAGGCGATATCATTGTGTTGCAGATAAGAAGAGAATTCCCTGCTCACCATAATAAGTACTAAATTTTCCAAGCTTGCAAACCGTTTCTTGAAAGTAGAATTTCCATGTACCTCATTGTTAACTACTGGTAAGAACTTACATCCTTTTCTGTAGTCAGCTATGTCCTGGAATGATCAAATAGGATAGAATGATATATTTGAGAGAGGATAATTTAATAGTGTTTTAGACAATAAACAAGAACTTTTTATGATCACATAACTTACTGTTGGGATTTTAATGTAACCTGCAGGAGCAAGATGTTGCTGCAATTGCATTAAAAGACACCATTTAATTGATATGAAATCAACTCCAGAAAAGGAAGGAAATGGAAAAAGAAAAGAACAAAAAAGATGAGATAAAGGGACTGCATAGTAGTAGTATATCAAAGAAAAAATCAGACCTGTACAAAATTGCTGTAAATTGCTAACTTGAGCAAAGAATCAGCTAGAATGCACAATAAACCTGACTGCTAAAAGAGGGAAGAATAAACACTAGTATTATTATCTTTCCACCAAAACATAACCAAAGAAGCAGTTAAAGATTGCTAGTTTATGGGATCAAAGAGCACATACACCACAGAAGGGAACAGAAGCTATCCCAGCATGAGGACCAGCCAAAGATATAAGATTTTTCACCTGTTACATATATCAGGAGACTATGAATATTCGAATAATATTAAATATACAAATATACATTGGCAAAGGGAACAACAAAACATAAACCAAATATATATATATATATATATATATATATGTCTTGAATATATGAGTTGTAGTTTCCATCTTTTCATTGGTTTCCTATGGTGTGTGCACTTTCCTCTTCTTTTATTTTTAAAAGGGGAGGCGGACCCAGGATTTTTACACGACGGGGGCACAATATTCTACTCAACCAGTGACCCCTAAAGGCTTTTAGTGATCAGGGTGCCAAGTGCTTTAAATTAACTATTTCAAGGTATATCCATGTACATATACCAGATTTTTGCTGAAGTTTACGGGGTCCAGTGACCCCTCACTATAACATATAGGTCCGCCTCGGGGGGGGGATTCTTTGGGAAGCTGTATAAAGAAACTTCCATTTTAGTTGATATAATACATGAAGAAGATTTTTTGAAAGAAAATGCTAGATCAAAGATTTTAACTTACAGGAGGTCCGTCACTACAGAGCTCAACAAGCCCTCTGCCAACCATGTTTCCCTAATAAAATGAAGAGAGGAGTCACAAAACCAAAAGAAATGGACACAAACAACGCTACCATGAAAAGGGTTCTATAGGATTATCAAAAAAGGAGATCAAATTATGCATGGAAATTCTAAGCACTCTTCATTGTAATACATATAATGCTGCTGCCATTTCCAGCAATCTTATTAATTGAGACAAATGTGCTGCAGTTTTTGGTGAGTCTGAGCATCTGAGTTTGTCAATGTGAAATTGATAGTTTATGTAGAAACAGAAAGAATATTTTTTTTATATGATTTAAACCTGAGATAGCTAGACTCTTATCAAACTCCAACAGCTTCGTTCCTTCTACAATATTTAGTATCAAAGTTCAAGCTAAAAAGCAGTTGCCCCACGGCTTTGCAACAAGATTTTGAAAATAGACAGCATAAAAGTTAAGACATCTTTCACAATTAAGTTCTCAATGCTGAAGAGTGACTTGGTCTGCTAAGAGGGAAAGATGTGAAAATCTATGTGAAGTAAAAGAGGAAAGGTCGACAACTGCTACAAAGAACCTAACAGAACTTTTTATACATTTGGTTACAACAACAGTGGGCTACTGACCATGTCTAAATGAAATACCATGGAGCTGATTGTGGAAACAACGATCTTGTCCCGAGTTAATGGAAATTGGTTTTAGTTGCAACAAGATTATAAGAACTAAAAAATGAAATAAAAGGTGAACATTACAGTTGACTATTATATATTGTTGATTCAGGACATATTCTTTGAGGATTGGAAATGAATATTTCAGGGTGCAGAAGTTCTCTACCTGGGAGAGACCGATTATGTGGTAACCCTCACTAAGCTCATCTATTTCCTTCACCTATATATAAGTTGAAAAAGGAATAATGAGACTGAAAAAATTGGAATTAGATGAGTTAAAAAAACAGTATAAACTACTTGTCTACCTTATCACAGGCAATGTCTACCTACAAAGGAAAAATAAGAAGCATATTAATCATCATTAATTCTTTAATTATCCAAGATGATGAATCAGAGGAAAGCAGAGTCAGGTTGATGAACAGAAGTCACCTGCTTGGTAAAAGGCATAAACCAGGAGTCCCACGCTCCGTTACCTATTTCTCTGCGCAAACAGAAAAAATTCAGAGATTACCCTTGGAGTTTATTTAGTGTTAAGTTGAAAATTAAAGGCAAAATCATCATTTATAACAAGTTGATAGTAGAGTATGTTGACATAGTGATAATGTTAATGCTTACATGCAATATCCTGTAGAGCCAGACCAGTTGCTTAGAAGCTCAGTGAAATAGCTGACTCCTTCATTGCTGCATTTATCTGATATTCCTGATATATAAACATAGCTTATCTCAAGATATTTACACAATGTAGGATCCCATAATTTTGGGCAATAAATAATTGTTGTTCCTATTATATATGCTTTAAGAAGAAAGTGAGGTGACTGCTAAATGTTCCTATGGAAACAAAGGCACATAGAAGTAATTTTGTAATCCATATCAACACAACACCAGTAAACCTTTTCTACTCTTGTTGACTCTTTTACATTTATATGCTCTTAAGTTCAATTATACAAAAGTTTGGATGGTTTATTCAGGCTTTTATATAAAAGGGAAACAACATTTTCTCAAACTATGTCTAGAACAGAACGAAGGGTAGCCTTGGCGTAGATGGTAAAGTTGCTGCCATATGACCAGGAGGTCACGAGTTGAGCCGTGGAAACAACCTCTCTGCAGAAATACATGGCAAGGTTGCGTAGGATAGAGCCTTGTGGTCCGGCCCTTCCCCGAACCCATCGCATAGCGGGAGCTTAGTGCACCGGCCTGCTCTTTTATGTATAGAACAGAAATATTTCCCCTTCCAAGAGAAGCTGAGAGGCAATTAATCACTACAAATGAGCACAATACTCAAGCTATATAGTAGTAATTAATCATCTGTAGCTAACACCTTATTTTCAAGATTATTCAACAAAATGAGCAGTCCCACAAAACAACATTACACATAGTAGGGAAATATAAAAGAAGAGAACTTTACTTTACCATGAAAGACAACAAAAGGAAGAGAATAAGTATTGATTGACTGAAGGGTCAATATGACAATAAATATCAACATGAAGTTCATTGGAAAAGACCCAACAACTTTATAATATGTTCTTGTTTTAAAAGGGGAATATATATATATATATATAAATCTTGGATTCACTGGCTTACTACTTGTTCCAAGAACTGACACCAAACTCAAATTAGTGTCAAGAAAAAACGTGGGAAGAGAAGATTAGATGAAGTAAGAAAAAAAAAAAAGAGTTTGTTTGGTAGAAGTAGAACATAAGTGCGAACTAGTAGGAGAAATAGGATAGAGTCATGGTAGTTGACCATAACTAAACGCAAGTCACGTGGCAAAAGATTATATTAACGTATTAATTCCAAGTTTTGGACGGGTGTGGCTTCAACTTTGAACTATTTCTACTTTGCCCCCTTGAGTATGAAATTGGAACACTTAAGCATCATCAAAATATAATCTTAATCTCCATTGATACAACTTATTAACCGATTAAAAATGTTATTTCAAGCATTTCATTTTAAGAAAAGAACATCATGAGTCCATTGTGGATTATACCCTCACACTTAGTTAACGTGTCTTGCAAGGACACTTGACTGTGTGAGTTTTATTTTTGCTCTTATCAAATACTCTAAAAGAAAAAAGAGATTGAACGAGGAAACACTCTATGTGTAAATGATCAAATGAAATAGAAATTTGTAGTGGTGATAATTGATTAATGAGAGCCATGGAAGCAACCACTAATGCTTGTATTAGGGTAGGCTGCCTACATCACATCCTTTGGGGTGCGGCGCTTCCTCGAACCCTGCGTGAATGCGAGATGCTTTATTTAATAAGAGTCCTCCTTCATAATCTTTAGTTAGTAGAATTAAATTACAAATAAGTACCAATCTGTGGTGAGATTCTTACTAATAACACAAGAAATATATTAGGATAACCACCATGACTCAAAATAAACAGCTAAACCTATTCTTATTCAAATAACATACATATAAAATCTGATAGTTAGACAAGTTGAAGGGAGCCATCAATACATACTAACAGTGGCGTACGCAGAAATTTTTGTAAGCGGTGTCACCATTTTAAACGTGAACAAATAAAAAAAATTACTGTAATAATATCATATTTAAAAAAACAATCAAGAAAAAGAAATAACACAACTTATAATGCAGCATCCTTCAATTTATAAAAGGGAAACTTACACAAATGTCCCAAATAAATCTCAACTTACCAACCTCTAGCCATTAGTCATAGACTTACCAAAACTAGCCAACAAAAATTGAAAAACCAAATAATAGGGTTCTTTCTCTCAAAGAATCACATGCAAAAATCACCTTCCATATTTTTAAGCGTGATTAGCAACATTAGATACAAGACGGAAAGGAAATTTCATGGACGGGGTAGCAAATAAGGTGATGAAATACAAAAATATATACAATATTCCAAAAATCTAAACAAAAAAGGAACTTTTTCAATGGGTATAGTTGAAATTCATTGAAAATATATAGATAAGTCAATATACAAAATTTGAGGAAGATTGGAGGTGATTTGGACTGGTTTTGTATCAAAATTCGTAATTAAATCGAGTTCAAAAAAGTCTTCTGCGACACATGTATCAAACATGTATCACGCATGTATCACACACACACGTATACATAGATATACATGTGATACACAATTGATACATATGTGATACACAAATGATACACACTGTGATACACATATCATTTTTTTTCATGTTCAGCTTTTATTTCGAATTTTCAATTCAAACCACCTCAAAACTTCACCAAATCATCCCAAAACTGAGATTCAAGCTCCTTAAGTTGTGCCCAATCTATTCTAATAACACCCACTAAAAACAAAGAAGAAATTTGATATTTTTTGCTACAAATAGCTAATTGGCTAATATTAATAATATTTTATCAATTGGCCAATTTTTATAATGAGCTACTTATAAATGGACATAGCTGGTAATTTTCCTTTATAAAATGTATTGTGCTAGTCAAGTAGTAACAAAAGTATTAAAACATAAAGCGAAGCTACACAAGTTCGAACTCACGACCTTACTTAGAAATCTTCAGGCCTCAACCAGATAAGCTAGACGCCTCTTTGTTACAAGTGGTGTCACTTAACCTATATTAGAGTTGTTCTTTTTTTTTTTTCATTTGAATTATATATAAATAATTAGTAAAGATTTTCGACGAAGCGGTGTCACGTGACACCGCTTGGGCTAAGGTAGATCCGCCCCTGCATACTAAAGGCTACGATGTGGTTAAGAAATAAAATTTTGCAAAATTAAAGAGGTTAACTCTACCTAACCATCAACAAAACGAATTCCAACCCTCTTAAATATCCTTTGAGTTATTTTTTTCTGTTAACCTCTGAATTTCAGTTTGATCTTTTTATACCACAAGTGCTTCAGCTGTCCTGTTGTTCCATTAATAGTTTATCTGCAACATGTTGTATTGGATGTATGAACGTGTTTCATGTGGGCATATGGGAGTATATTCTCCTTGGTTAGCAAATGTGTTTCACGGGAAAATATGTTAGTGGTCATATTTTTGTAGCATAGCATTGAGTTGTCACCCATCATCTGAGCTATTGTATAATAGATGCCAAGAAAGGTGGCCCCTTTTCATTTTGAGGTCTGTTCACATGTCAGGGTGGGCACTATCCTTGTCCCTTTTAACTTGGAAGAGTTTCTTGAATTTACCTTGTGGTTTACCACTGTATATGTTAATGCGCTATGTGTCACAAGCCTTAAGTGTGAGGAAATTCTCTTTCCCTCATAAATTTGTGAACTTTTTTGTATAATGAGACACTCCCTTATATTTGACTGGTCGTGGTAGGAATGGTTTGAAACCAGTTCATCTAATAAGGAGCATGCATTAATTCCTTATTCTGAGTATACATAAAATGTGCATGGTTTTAATTTATTGATTATCTCCAACTGTTATATGCATATCAAATGTGATGTTTCTTTTTACATTTGGCTGGTAAGAACTGTTGAATAACAGCTAAACAAACTTGTATACCAATTGAAAATTGTCATCGCGAAGCTTAAGAATCCAAAGTTCCAGGATGGTTTCTTTCAATTAGACGGTCTTCAGATGCTGCGTGTTGGAGGAGTATCTTTCTGGAAAGCTTAACTGACGCAAGAGCAACCAATGTAGCAGCAGGTACAAACAGCACGTCTGGAATGGATTTAATAAATTTGAGCTGAGGCACACCTTCACCGGCTCTCTTGGCTGCCATTGCTGCAGGCGGTGTTGCCAGCCCAATGATGAGCGAAGTCTGATCCAACCTGTTTAGTTTTATGTTCTTCTCCATGAACTCTAGGACCTTCTTCTTCTTGCCTTCTTCATCGAGTTGCTTCCAATCCTCAAAACACTCCTATATTAGATGCATTAGGAACCAGTTGTTTGTGTGTGTGTGTGCGAGCATATAGAGAGAGAGAAAGAGAGAGAGAGAGAGAGAGAGAGAGAGAGAGAGAGAGAGAGAGAGAGATAATGACCTTAATTTTGTCACTCGAAGGCACAATCCAGTGCTTACCAGGCAATGCACCATTCACAGTGCTGCGGAAAAAAGAAATTTCAGCGTTACCTAAGGATAATGGTTCTATAGTTTCATTTAGCTAAGAACAAACCAGTTGATGACAGTTAGTCGGACACCGAAATGATAATATATTTATAAATAAGGCCAATTGCATCTTCATTTTTCTTTGGTAGTTAAGGCTCGTTGTATCAACATAAGTTTATCTGAGTTTTGGACAAAGAATCTTACACGAACATGTCAAGAATTGCCAGATGGAACCCTTCAAAATCCGTGATATTTTTATTCACGAAAGACTCGTGAAATTTTCCCGTCACCTTACCTGTAAGCTGTGTCGGCAATCCTGTAGAGTTGAATGGTTATGGTTTACAAATGTCATTGCCTTCTGAACATAAAATGTACAAACGACAGCTATGCTCAAAGAAACTTGACTTGGGGGAATGAGGGGAAACCCAGAAAATACGAGGTGACGAATAGAGATGATTAGCAAAAGTATAAGTTTTAAAAGAAAGTGAAGATGATTGACCTTTTCCCATGAAGCTCATGATTAGACCCATCTTTGCCAATATGAACAAATAGATTCAATGAAAGTATATAAAGAACGAGAAAGAAAGACTAGGAATGGCTTGTTTGTCTGTCTAGGTGATGTGTGCAAGCAAAGAATCCAGTAACTACCTTTCCATTGGTTTGCTATATCTGATTCCTGACTTTCATCAAGATTTAGCTTGGACTTAAGCAGGAATCTACACGATGGACTCTCACATGATGCTCTAAATTTTGCCATGCAACAGTAATCCCAAAAGAGCCATATCTTGTGCCAGGGACAATTCTGATACCTAACCAACAACATTAAAGTTACAAACTTTCATCATGTGGGAGCTTATGGTGTAGATTCTTGACTTCTATCAAGCTTTAGCTTAAGCAGGAATCTACACGATGGACTCCCACATGACGCTCTGTCTTTATCATGCAACAGTAATTCCAAAAGAACCATACTTGTGCAGCGGACATTTCTGATTCCAAACCAACACTGACATTCAAGTACTGGTTTCCTCTTGATCTTCAGTCTGAGGCTCTTCTTATGGTTCACAACTTTAGTTTATAAATTACACTCTTAACAAAGAATCAGTTCAACACATTAGTAGCGCACCGTTTTCGGGAAGGTAAGGGTGTTTATCATGTCTCCTTAAAGGTTGTGGTCTTTGAGCCCATCTTGATTGTCGTGCATGTTATTCGTAACCTCAAGGCTGACATCTGAGATATGAGGGAAAACACCAGTATATACAAGCTGTGAAACACATGTAGTATTGGCAAGATAGTCGTCATTCAAAATTCAGCCAATCCAATATCATTACTATAAGGTGTATCCTGACCTCTCATGTACAACCGCAAATGCTCCAATAGAAGACGTATTTCCTCACACTGTGGATGTATCTTATCTCCAGCTAAAAATGCCCAAACCATACCATTAACTTCAATTGTACTGCAACCTGCCTCTTTTTTTGCCCCTTCTCTCCTCATCCACCCCTTAATTTCTTCAACATCACTCCACCTTTTGTCGGTGGCATACAAGTTCCTCAACATAATGTAGATTCCATCATTCCACGGTTCCATCTCAATTGCCTTTTTCTTGACCTTCTCAGCCCTTGTAACATCTTTGGCATAACCACACGCAAATAGAAAGGAACTCAATATTATTCCATTGACCTCATAAGGCATGGTTTCTATCAAGTTTTCGGCTTCCTCCAAACACCCTGACCTCCCCAAGAGATCAACCAGACAACCATAGTGCTCAATTTGAGGAGTAAGCCCATAATTCTCCATTGCTATAAACCATTTCTTGCCTTCCTCCACCAATCCACCATGGTTACAAGCTGACAAAACACCAAGCATAGTAATCTCATTTGGTTTGTATCCTTTACTCTTCATCTCCTCAAACACCTCCAACGCTTCTTTAGCAGATCCATTCACCGCCAGTCCATTAATTAAAGCATTCCAATTTGATGTTTCTTTTACTTTTACCTCATCAAAAAATTCCCTGGCTTTTGCAATTTCCCCACACTTGCTATACATATCAACTAAAGCAGTACAAACATTTGAAGATCTATCTAATTTCTTCCTCTTCACATACTGGTGAACCCAGTTACCCAAATCTAAAGCACCCAAATCAGCAATAGCTGGTAGCACACTAACAACAGTAACATCATCCGGCTCCAATGTCGTCCCCGACTGCAACGCATGGAACAACTTCAAAGCCTCTTGCGGCTGTTTGTTTTGACAGTATCCACCAATCATTGCATTCCAAGAGAACAAATTCCTCTCCGGCATTGCATCAAATAACACCCTTGCTTCATTTATGTTACCATTACTGCAGTACCCGTCGATCATACTAGTCCAAGAAATCACATTTCTCTCCGGCATTGCCTCAAACAATGTATTTGCTGACACCATATCTGCTTTCTTCACGTAAGCATCAATCATCACATTGAATGCAGCTACATCTTTCTCAGGTATTGCATCAAAAAGTCCTTCAGCAATACCAATACAACCAAACTTCAAATAACCGCCAATTAAAGCTGTCCACGAGACTGAACTTCTCTCAAGCATTTCATCGAATAACTTCCTAGCAAAACCCATTTCACCAAACTTCCCATACATATCGACCAAGGAAGTCGCCACAAACAAATTCGACACAAACCCACATTTCAACACATGATTATGAACTTCCAAGCCTTCCCACAACACTAATCTTGCACCACAACACTTGGAAAGGCTAGAAAACGTGTAGTTGTCCGGTTCAAAACTAGTGTGTCTTAGTAAATCTCTATACAGAAGTGTTGATTCGGCGAATTGGCCAACTCCCATGTGGGACTTTATCATGGTGTTACTGAGGAAAGTGTCGTCCTTTTGGGGACTTGTGTCGAACACGCGGCGTCCATGGCTGATTCCAGCTACTGGGTCGCTGACGGAGAAGCTGGAAATGAGCTTGGTGAGGAGATTGACGTTACTATCAACGGCGTTTCGAAGCATTATGGCGTGAATACGGAGAAGGGTGGCTTTGGAGTTCCTTTGTTGGAGCAAAGCATGACATTTTCTCTCTATTGGCCTCCAGAGCCAGTGGGTGTTTCTATTATTCATTGATTGGGTTTTGGGAGTTACATTTTTCGTCTTGATATAGTATTTAATTTAGAAAATATAACTTTGTTATCAAAGCTTAAACATATAGAAAAAAGAACACTTAAAATTCCTTTTGTCCGGCATTCTCATTTACCACTAGATCACACCCTTCAATACAATTCATTAATGCCTACTCATTGACCCCGAAATCGGGAGGGAGGGGGGAGGGAGGGCTAGCATACACCTTACGAGAAGCACGAGGGTTAAAATCACTTTTCGCAAAACTCAACCCAAACACGTAATTATTTTTTGGAAACCAATCTTAGAAAACGAGTTCTTCTAGAGCCGTCAAAATGGGCTTAGCCCATGAGGCCAGCCCAATCCAGCCCGCTACTAGGGTAGGGTTGGGCTAAGATATTTTAAGCCCATTTCACAACTGAGGCTAAGAAGCCCGACCCAAGTTAGCACGCGGCCCTTGAGGCTTGACTGAGGCTGGGCCGACGCTGGCCCGCGGGCCAATAATTTATTTAATTCAAATCTTAAATTAAGAAAAAGGAAGTAAAGATTTAGAATGGGCTAAAGACTTAAGTCGTGCACCCTAATCATAAACTTTTCTTCCTCAATAGTCAACATACTAACGCAACTCTCTGCCTCCTTCCCCTCAATCCTCAACTTTTTATCGCTACATCTCTCTTGATCTTCGGCATCGACGACTTACTACAAGGTAATTAGTTTTTTTTTCTTGAGTTTACTAATCTTTCTATCTTACATATAAATAAGTTTAATATTTGGACTATTCAATCCATTATGTACATGACTAATGATCTGTTTGCTTTATATTTTATTCCCATGCATACGTATTTCTCCATTTTACTTTGGGTTTATGTCTATTCTGTATGCATCTGTATATGTACATGGATCTTATTTAGGCTTTTGTTTTTGTTTATTTACTATATTTTGACGGCTTTAGATGTATGTGTTGATTTGTGTTAGGTCAATTAATTAACCATTTGAAAATAAAATTATCTTATAAAAAAAGACTAAAAATAAAGGATTGGCCCGTCCTAGCCCGCGGCCCTCTTAGGGCTGGGTTGGGCTGGCCATTTTAAGGCCCTTTTGCATGAAGAGCCAGCCCGTCCTAGCCCATCAACTTTCGTGGCCCGCGAGGGCTGGGCCGGCCCATTTTGACAGCTCTAGATAGGACACTATCTCAGAATATTTGAAACACAAATTTTTTTGGATAGGACACTATCTCAGAATATTTGAAACACAAATATTTGTCCTTCTTTATCCACCCCCAACCCCCCAAAGAAAAAGGCACCATCACAAAGGTTGTTTTTTTATTAAAAAAAAACGAAACGAAAAGGTATGAAATATATACAAAGAAACATGATAAAATTCATGAACTGCAACATTCATATACGAATATATATATATATGACAATCACGGAGCAAAAAAGCCATAATCATATTGATGCCTTAGATTAGTTGCAGGACGTTGACAACATTTTAGTACAAGCATTTCATCAGGAACAAACACTCAACTCACATCCAAATGCTCCATGATTTCAAAGTGTATCTGGAGTTCAGGGAGCCTATTACCAAAATATAATCTTTCACGTATATACAATTTCCCCATATTCTTCCGAGTTGCTCCTCTGAGCAGCCTAAAAAACTCATCCTTCTCCTTCCGGATCCAAATCCTGCGGCCATCACACCACTGTCTAGGAGTTCCATGAAGGAAAAACCGAATTCCAGGGGCTCCTTGCACGAGGCGCTCAGAAATTTTATCAATGACATCTTCGTTGGTTATATATGCTCCCTGTGTGTTTAGACCAACATCTACGTAATGGAATTCAGCTATGCTATTTAAGAAGCTATCCTTAGAATTTGGAATGATCTGATCTTGTTGCAGGGAGGCAAATCCCCCATTTGTCACATTCTTATTTGCTAGCGATACATCTTCAGTGAACTGGACTGGTGCAAAACCAAGCTCAGTAACCAGCTGGTTGAGTACAGTACCACCCTTACTAAATCCAAGTAGTATTGTTCTTGGTGTACTTGAAGTTGATGTAGAAACTTCAGCTTGATAGGGCTCTTTTTGCTTCCCTGAAATGACATTTTTTGCCTGCCAAGGCAGTAGAGTAAATTGTTTAACAACTGGAAATATGCAAAAACATTGCATGTGATGTAAAAATGTGCAAGAAGAAGTACTAATCGCTGTATACGGCGGAATCGGAGGGTCCAATTTCTGGTCATTAAGGCACTTCGGAAGATCACCTCGAAGGCCCAAGGTCGCGAAACCGGTTCGAAGGCTCGAGGCCGTGGTCGAGCATCTCTCCTCGAGGGTCGACGATACTCGACCCCATGATAGCATTAACCATGATAAGTTATAAAAATGGAAGGTTCCCAAGGCGCACGGCTAAGACTGACAGACCCTAGCTGGTCTACTTTGAACCCGAATCAGGATGTCGTATCTAGTTGTCCCATCCGACATCTTTACAATTAATGCCTTCTGTACTATATAGGGACTCCCCTCCTATATAAAGGGGGTCCTGGTCATTTTTGCAAGGTCTGATGCTCCAATTACTCCACATGAAATATAGAAGAACATACTCTTTTCTCTCTAACATACTATCTCGATATTGTTGTCCTTGTTTATTATCTTCATACTTGTTCTTCATTTATTGCTTATCATTGGCCATAAAGGGCCTTCACTATTTTGTTTTATAACTGTTAGCCCTTCCCCGATTACCCTTAATAGCTCGAGCCCGAGCCCAGGAATCGACCTCGAGGCCCAGTATCGGTCAGTCCGAGGCCCCGATTGGCTAGTTCATCGGTTTGATTATAACTCTATTTCAGCTCGCATTTCGTCTCTAAACTTCATACATATAGCATCATATGCTTAAACAACTAGCATAATAGATCACGTATTTTTAGAGTCCCATCAACAAATTTAATTGTTATTACCATTTTCACGGTAAACAATTGCCCTCTTTAAAGAGGCAATATATCACTTTCATTCCTAATATTCTGCATATGGACAAGCCAAACAAGGTCAAATTAAAGAAACACATAAATGGAACAAGAATATTCACAAGCCACCAGAGAAGCAAGTTATAGCCTTAATGTAAGCTGTATAAGAAGAATAGCAAAAAGCAATTGGTGATTCATCACTTCTTGCGAGAATTAACAGAATCAATATACTTTGTATAAATGGAAAAGTACTTTCTCCTATGTTTCTGTAAGAGGTGATTCAATGGACCATACGACCTCCACAACCATCTCTTGTCTTCCCACGAACATGTTTAGTGCGAGTTCTAGCCTAAAGAGCTCAAAAGACTTCTTCTTACACTAGATGGTTGCACTAAATGGTCAAAACCTTCACTTTGGTCCGGGGTTTATTTAGGTTTTCGATTGAAAATTAGAGTAATATTTACCTAAAATACAGAGCCGAGATGGACATACATGTGACTACAAGAAACTGCAAGAGGAGGGCATCTCCGGCCAAAAAGACTTAAAATCACATTCCAAAACTCCAACGAGGATTATCACCTTAAGTTTTCTCTTTAATACTGACTTAACAAAAAAAGGTGGTACATTGTGATTACTGAAAGCAAGTCAAGTACTTGGAGCAATAGATAATTACCTCTTTCAGGCAATTCCACAAAAGCAAGACAATGGAGGAAGAAGCAGGGAACCCATCTGCATCATAAGATTTGGGCTCTCCATATTCATTGACAGAAGGGATGAAGTCCTTATAAACCGCAAAAGGCCCATTAAAAACTGGTGCCTCAACAACCCAAGCATTGATAGAATTCCCAAATTTTGAAACCAAGATTTCAGCTACCTTCTGCAGGTCAGATAGCCTCTCAATCACTTGATTTCCTGTCCCTTCAACCTTATCTCCATTGAAAAAAATGGCATTTGCAGCGGGTACCTATCTTTCATACAAAATGCAAGGTATTAAGAACCGATCATTCCATTAAAAACAATATAGAAAGCAACTTTATTGCTATCCAAGCAGTAAATGGTCAAAATATCCATCACTTCAATACAGGATATCAAAGTTTCCTTTTCAGTATCTACATAACTCCACCTATGTGAACCTTGCTACATATAAACAACCCCAACTTATTTGGAATTAAGGCGCGGTTGATTGATGGATTGATCCATATAGGTACATTGTCAAAATGTCAGTTCTTAATATAAAAAAGAATAAGAAGAGTATTTGATTGGGAGGTGGGGTGTTTGATTAATTAAAACTTTCTGCAGGGTCTAGGGTTTGTTAAGAACTTACAGAGAGTGATTTAGTAGAAGCGGAAAGGCAAAGAGAAGCTGCAACTCGATAATATCTACTGCTATTAGCGTACAAGGGCACCTTCAAAATTCCTGTCCAACGATCCATGGGAAAAACCTGAGCTACAAATTTTTAGGTCATGCTAATCGATTGAATTGCTGACGGAGAATTCGTTAATAGTGGTAAAGGAATCTGAATCTGCAGTTTGCAGTGTTGGTCTGGTCGAGAACCCTCGAGTTTGGGTCGAGGAAGATTCGACATATGGCAGCAAAATCTTGGAAGAATGTGGGACTAAAATTGATGATTTGAAACATAGAGGTCCTCTTTAAAATAATTTATAAAGTCTAATTATGACCATTTTTTTTAAATACTATAAAGTCTAACTACATTAATTTGCATTCCAATTGTTTTTCTTAATTACTACATTAGATTAATATCACTTGTCCTTTAAGATTTTTTGCATACTGTCACGTAATGCTGTATGGTGGGCCGGGCTGGGACCGGGACCGGATAGGGCCCGCGGTCTTAACGGGCTAAACGGTCCTGGTGGGCCGGTCCCCAATGGTGCAGGAGGCCCGTCGCGGGCCGGTTCTCTTCTATAAGCCCACGAGCCCGGGACCGGCAGGCGGGCCTGGGCCGGTTCAACCGGGCCTAACGGGCTCCAACGACTATTTTTAAAAAAAAAAGACCAACGGTCAGATTTTTAAAATCTAGCCGTTGGCCTTCATAATTTATCCGTTGGCCACTTTAAAAAATAGTCATTTGGCCCCCAAACTTTATTTTAACCCCAAACTTTATATAATTACACTTTTTTCCAATTCTCAACTATAAATACCCCCTCATTCTTTCATTTTTACTCACCAATTCATCAATCTCTCTCAATCTATATCTAATTTCTCTTCTATAATTGCTTATTTTATTATTGCAATTTCGTGAAAAATTGTGAAGTTGGTGAATTGAAGTATTCAAGTCTTCAACGATTTTCAATTTTCAAGAAGTTGTTCGGCAATTCAGTAAACTCGTTCCAACTCTTAAGTTTTAAGAATATATTTTTGTGTGTTTAGTTTGCATAACTGTAATTAATATGGCATTTTCTTTGAAAAAAATATTTGGTGGTAAGGGAAAAGCTAAAATTGGTGAAAGTAGTCTCCAACCTACTACCCTTCTCCCGGCTCCCCCGACCCAGACCTGTTACCCGTCCTGCTGCTCCTATTATTCTTGATAGTGATAACCCTTGTTTTCAATTTTCCGATAGTGAATTTTGCCATAATGTTGCACCAGGTGAACAATTAAATGAAGAAGTTATGAATGCTCTTTATCCTAATCAAACTATCTTAGAAAATGATGAGGAAAATGAGGATGTAGATGAAACCCAACCGGATTTAGATGATACACCTACTAGTCCTGTTAATAACCCAACTGATGCCCCGCCCGACCCACCTGTAGAAACCCCTACTTTTAATAGACAACCTTCTAAACGCCTAGAAACATCAATAGTTTGGAATTTTTTTACTCAAGTAAGAGAACAAAATAAGGCTAAGTGTAAAACTTGTGGAAAATTGCTGGCGCATAAATATACTGGAGACCGTAGCGGTACGGGTAGTTTGGCTAGGCACATACAAACACACCCTAGAGATAAAGTTAAATATTTACAAATGAAAGCGCAGCAAGAGGGGACAAGTGTAGATACTGCGGTTAACCCTAGTACAGGTTCAAATCTAGTTCAACCAGGAATTAACACTGTGACCGGTGGTATTTTATATTACGATCCTAATAAAGATCGTGAAGAATTAGCAAAGATGGTTACCGTTATGTGCTTACCCTATACTTTTCCTTCTAACCCTAATTTTGTGCGTTATATTAGAAAAGTTTTTAATCCTACTTATAAAGGTTGGCCTCGCGCAACAGTTAAGAGCGATATTTATAAATATAAACATGAATATGAACAATATTTGCGGTATTTATTTACTCATATAACTAATCGAATTTCTATTACTACTGATATTGGTAGAAGTAATAATGACTGTGATTATCTAACTGTTACAAGTCATTGGATAGATGAGGAGTGGATAATGCAAAAACCCATTATTGCTTATAGAATAATTAATTCACGTCACACAGGTAAGTTTATTGCTAACACTGTTGCAGATATTTGTAGATATTTTTGCATTAGAGATAAAATAATGGCAATTTCTATGGATAATGCTTCTAGTAACACTAGTGCTATAGGCATACTTACAACAGCACTAAATCCTGCATTTAGTAATTGTTTCCATGTGAGATGTATTTGTCATATTTACCATTTAATCGTCGGTGATGGTATGAGCATTTTAAATTTAGAAATTGAAAAGGTTAGAATGGCTCTTAATTGGCTTTTTTATTCAAACCGTAGAAGTAGACTTAGAGAGTATTTTAAAAAATGTGATGAATTTGGCCTTAGAGAAAGAAAGGTTCCTAAACCTTGTCCAACTAGATGGAATTATATGTACGAAAGTTTATTAGTTGCATATGAATATAGAAACCCAATTAATGCAACGTTTAATGCTCGTGTTGGTGGTGAGGATGACGATGAAATCCTTACAAATCAAGATTGGACGAATGTTAAAATTCTTATAGATTTTTTAGAACATTTTCAAATTGCTAATAATGCATTTTCTGGGCAATATTATCCTACTATTTTAAATTGTTTAGTTTATATTGCAGCACTATGTGATTTGTTTGTTGAATTATCGGAGGGTGGGGAAATTTATAAACTTGCTATAAATGCAATGAAAGAAAAGTTTAAAAAATATTTTTTCCCTATCCCCCCTATTTATAGTGTTGCTGCAATGTTAAATCCTACAATGAAATTAGGAGGTCCTCACTTTTGGTACTCAAATATTTAAAAGGCTTTAGATCTTTCAGTTGAGGAATTTTCTACACTTGCAGAGGCAAAAGCCTCAATTAAAATAAATGCTCAAACAATTTAAAAAGCTTATCAACTTGCGTTAGATCATGCTAGGCCAAATGTTCCAACCCCTACTTCGTCTAGTTCACAATCATCTAAAAGAGCTGCGGGCCTAAAAGCACTTAAATCTTGGACGGAGTTTAGGGGTTCTCAAGGTGATAATTTTGATGAGACTTCACATCTAAATGAGCTTCAAGTTTATTTGTCGCAGGGACTTGAAAAGGAGAATCCAGACGGCACCTTTGATCTTTTGGAATGGTGGAAGGCAAGGGAAAAATATTTTCCGGTTCTAGCAAGGATGACTCGGGATATTTTATCTATTCAAGCTTCAATAGTTGCATCAGAGAGCGCTTTCAGTCAAGCAAGACTTCAAATAGGCGATCATAGAGCGTCTATGAGGGAGAGCTTGGAAAAATCAGTACTATCCAGAGATTGGATCCGCTCGGAAAGAAGAAAGTTTGGACTTGCAGAATCACAACCGGAAATAGACGAAGCTTATGAAGAAATGATAGCGGAACTTGCGGAGGATGCTGCTTCGCCCGGAAGCGGTGATGAACAAGCTTCTTTTCCGCCACCACCAACGGAACCTCCTCCAAACCTTGAAGGATTTATGAGATTTGTTAGAGATACAATGTAGATTATGGTGTAACTTGTACTTTGGCATATCTTCTTTAGTTTTTTTTCCTTTTAATGGTGGTATTAGTACCTTGTTGTGCTCATTCCATTGGGGGGAAGAAGACTAAGAAAGATATGCCATTTTTGGTAATAAAAATTCTAAGACATGCCCTTGAATATCTCTTTGCAATATTTTTTTGTCTTTAACTTGCAATTATTTATAAGCTATAAAGGGAATATATATACATAACATACAATATATACTACAAGAAAATATATAAGGGAATATATATACATAACATACAATATATACTACAAGAAAATATATAAGGGAATATATATACATAACATACAATATATACTACAAGAAAATATATAAGGGAATATATATACATAACATACAATATATACTACAAAAAAATATATAAGGAAATATATATACATAACATACAATATATACTACAAGAAAATATATAAGGGAATATATATACATAACATACAATATATACTACAAGAAAATATATAAGGGAATATATATACATAACATACAATATATACTACAAAAAAATATATAAGGAAATATATATACATAACATATTATATATAGTATACTATACTAGTATACTATACTAGTATGCTATACTAGTATACTATATATATTATATTTACATGAAGAAGTAGTACTATATATACTACAAAACAAGATTTTTCAAAATGAAGGCCCCACCCCCAATGACCACCAACGGTCATATTGCACAAATAGCCGTTTCTTTTTCCAATTTACAAAACTAACCTTCTCTAACACTATAAGTACCCCCCTCCCTCTTCTTCATTTCAATACTCAATACTCATTTCTCAATCTAAATTTCTCTCAATCTCTCAATCTCCAATTTTCAAGACTTCAAGTCTCAATCTCAATTTTCAAGTTAAATCATGCCTCGTTCGGAAAGAGTGCGCTTATTTGTTTCGCAATACTATGAAGTGCTTGAAGAAAATGAAGAAGGCCAAATATTAAAGTGCAAGAACTGTGGAAGAGTCTTAAATTTTCGTTCAGGGTGTACCACAGGCATTTTAAGGAGGCATATAAAGTATTGTGTTGAGGGTATTTATCCGCAAATTCGTCTTTAAGATTTTTCAACAATTTGTGTTATTTTAAAATTATTAGACGTATTTATGCTTCATGTTGTACTTTGTTATTAATTTATTATGCATGCCAATTTAGTTTTACTATTGTTTTGTTATTTTACTTTTTCGTCAAGCACTTTAATAATTAGATTTCTATATTATATATACTACATATATTTATATAGCCATGCATAAGAGCAATTTATATATATACATACATATATGGTTTACAAGAAATTGCCTTAAATAAAAAAAATTAAAAAAAGCCCGGAAATAAAAAAGCCCGTTAGGCCCGCTAAGCCCACGAGCCCGCCCCATTTAGCCCAGGGACCATATGGGCTTAGGCCCGTCACGGGATGGTCCCACCCGTTGAGCCCACGAAGCCCGGGACCGTGAAGCCCGGGACCGCCAGAGCCCGGGACCGCTAAGCCCAGGCCCGTTTAGCCCATTTAGGCCCGGGCCCGGCCCACCATACAACCTTACTGTCACATGCTCAATGAAGAACACAGTCAATGCAATCCTAAAGGGTTGGGATGATGAACAACCCCTGAACAGATTTGCACAATTGAACTGGAAAACAAGAATTGAAGAAGAAGAAGAATGAGTT